GAGACCTCCTCTCAAAAGTGATCGATTTCTTGAGGCTACTAATAAATAAAGATCGATCACTATTCGTAAAATTCCGTTAGTAAAATTTAAATACATGCATAACTACTGGCTACTTAGCCACGCACCGTATTCTTATTTGATGCAGTCACACCATGCCCATCTCGTGTGACACACACCCCTGTTACCAGGGTATGTGTAACCCGTTACAGTCATCTTCCACGAGCTAATGTGGCGAACAAACTGCACCGCGCTTTTAGCGATCCAAGACTCACACCCCCTATGTTCGTTGATCGCCAAATGAACTACATGTATATGTTTGACCAGGCAGATTCCGCTCCTTGCATATCGACAAATTTAACAAAATATCTCTTTAAAAAGCGCTTGCGCCAGCCAACAATGGCACAATACCCATTCAAAGCTGACTTTTGGACCATCATCTTGCTTTGATTTCACTGTCTGACAGTGATACGGTCTGTGTGAAGCAATCTGAATGCGTTTAAATTCTGGTTCAGAATCAATTAGGCAATTTCAGGTATTTTTATCTGTGGAAATGGTCGAAGTAAATTCAGTAACTTTAAGTTGCCTCGTATGTGAATTTTGAAAGTTGTGTGAAGGTTGTTAATTTAGCCCCTAAAATACGGGTCTTTCACTGGCGAATACATTACTCGTCAGAAATTTTTGCTATTCTTTAAAACGTATATAAACTAATGGGCAGTATACTTTTTGTAACTTTTTACTAGTTGGTCTCGAACTTTCGCAAATGATCATAAAGTTGTCTTAACGGCTGTGTTGCTTCTTGATTCTCTGGGTAGAAACTGAGAAAGTGCCCAAGCTGTCGAATCCACGGAAGTAGCAAACGAGGAAACGCTACAGCTTTATGGTCCTTGGGATCGTTTAAAAAAGATTGGAAAACTTCGTGGCCGAACACGACACCATACGCTAAATCGGCAAGCGCAAGACTGTGTCGCACTGAATTTCCACGCACTCCGTACCAAACGAGTTCATCCGTGATGTAATAAAAATCAAAGTAAAGCGCCCGATACGATAGCACTAGCTGATAGAGATCATCCCGACTAATCGGAATGCCATCTGCTTCGTCGAAGCTCTGCACGGCTGCGTGAGTAAGATTTTGTGGGCTTAAAGGAGACACCAAATCCAACGCTAATTCAAGATTATTTAAGACTTGAGTGAGGTTAAGCGCCGGAAGTTGCTGGTCAGCGGAATGTGTTTCTGAGATTAAAGTGTTTTCATGATACGATATCAGCCACTTCCATGTGTACTCATAATTCTGGAATGACAGTATCACAATTGTCAAAACATGACAACTCGCCGAGAGCGCTTAGAAACGTACCTGAAGGAACTTGGCAATAATATCTTCTAGGGCCGAGACAGGAAAATTTTCACTGATATTCGGTGGAATGTAAAAACTCGCGACGTTGCTGTCCCAAGCAAACGTCTTCATCAGCCAACAGAAAGTAAACACAAGCACATTTCGTACCTGCAAGTGAAGCACAGCGTTACCTGATAATGCTCAGCGAATTGGTTAATATTGTACAGTGTGACGTGCTCCTTGACACTGTGATCCCAAAGCTGATGATGCTTCCGTAGCGCTGCGACATCGGGCTGAACCCGAAATACTCCAACACCTTGTGGTTGAATCGTCACAATAAGTGTTGACTTACGTCCGGCGCACATTCCATGGTCATGTAAGTCCACCGTGGCAGCTCCCGGCTGGGTTAAAACCTCATCAATCGCCACAGTAAAGAACAGACTGTCATTTCTGAGCGCAATTCGAGCATACATGTCTTTTTTCGTGTTACGCACAACAATACATTTGTAAGATTCATCAGCAGCAGTTATAGACATTTCCGGGCTCGAGAGATTTGACTCCAGCATCGAAAACACCAAGCCTAGTGAATTTGGCTGAACCGAATAACATCTTTTCAATTGGAGCGGTGGGTCATGTTTATCTCCGTTCGAAACGTTAACCATCAGTTGGGGCTGACTACAGATAGCACGAATAATGACAGTTTCTCGAAAATCTTTAACCAGACGACAGCTCACGTAGACTTCAATTTCACGCACCCAAGGCTCGATCAACTGATCATCCGACAGGACATCGCTGGTTTCAGATAGTAGAGTTGTTTGTTTTGGTTGGGGTCGGAAGTACAAGAACACTTGCATGCTTGCATGGGATTCTAGGGTGATCGTGGTGACTTCGTAGAATGACATTGGTGAAACCGAAAAGCCGACCTCCTGAGGTCTTGCATTACTCGACAAAATAAAGTCGAGACTCAGACTAGAAGAATTTTCGATCACAATCGAGTGGTTTTGGTACAACTTGTTATAGTATACCTCGCTGAAATCAATTAGCAATCGCGGGGCACCACCAGTGATGATTTCTGATGGCATATTGATACTATAGCGCCGCGAACGTTTTGGACTGCTGTGATTCGGCACAAGCACGCGGAACAAATTTGTCGCCAAATCTGACCCTGAAGACATTCCACGAAGCGAATTCAAATCGGCGATGATTTCCAATCTCACATTGATCACCTTCAGATCATGAGGATTTGCTCGATTTTGTAGCACCATGAAAGTAGAATACACTCCTACTACCCCACGCAAAAAGTGAAGAACCACACTTTGGTAACTGTGCGCTCGATCAAGTGTACCTCGTTCACGGCTAAGTTGCAACCATGAACGAGCATTTTTGTCAACAAGCATCAAACGATACTCGACTGAATCAAGTCCTGCAACTTCCGCGGCATTTGCAGCGCTGTACAGACTTTCAATTGTAATTTCCCACTCTATTTCTCCACCGTTACGAACGGTATGCTGACCCACATCAATCAAATAACGAGTGTTGTCTAGCGATGAATACTCAGCAGGTGTGCAGCCACGAACGGCCAAAACAGGTAGCTGATTTTTATGTCCCACGGGACCGGAGCGGATCAAAGAGATATCGAATTTCTCGAGCTTATCCAGCCCGGGCGATCTCACCTGCTCGTATACTTCATCGTTGGGATGAGTTTCTATCGCGGGCTTAGAATGTGGCCTCCAAAAGTGCGCTAGTCGCTTATTCCGGGCGTCAAAAGCTGCAGACATCAACGCTTTGTCCAATACGAAACTTCCTTGCTTAGAAGGATCGCTCGCCGAGCTTTGTTGCTGCAAAATTAACATAATATTAACTCCAGTTGAGACTTCAGCTTCCAGCTTTAAATCGGCATCTCGCACAGTTAAAAACATATGGCTCATTCCATTTTTTTCCGTACTTGTTTCAATTTCATCAGCATCCCATGAATTGCTGCGCCAGCTTGGGTGATGCATCTTATGTAAGGCGATTGCTTTCCCGGCAAGCGTGTGATCGCCTAACTTACGATGCGGAATCTCACATGAAGATAGCGCTTGCGCACTTTCGAAAGCTTCTTCAAGATGCACGGTAACTTTCACTGACTCACCCGGAGCAATTGTGCCAGATGAAGGAACAGCGATTGCTTGAATCCATTCACTCATCGCACAAACGTCCGACTCTGTCGAACCCTTCACTAGGCATAATTTTGGCTGATACATGGAGGCCGGATTAATTACGAAGTTGAGCTCCCCCACAGTAGATAAATTCTTTACCCAAAAGCTTTCAAACGAGTTGCGCAGTTGATGCACAACGGAGTACCCTAACTGCTGTGGCATTCCTGGTGGCATGACTGGAGATGAATTTTTACTCACCCCTAGATTCGACTGAATTGGTGGTGATATTTGTTCGATCGGTGTGTCTGATAAAATATCGGTCGCTGTTGCAAAAAAATTAAGGCTGGATGCTGACAATACAAATGTCTTGCCAGGAAGCAGCTTTCCCTTAACATAAATTTCTTCGCGCTGAGCAGAATCATCCAGATTGTGAATATTTACGTGAATGTATACTAATCCCAGGTCTAGAATTCTGGCTGTGGATTCACTCTCTCTAGCTGACCATATATCAGCAGAAAGACGAGCGGACGGAAGGACAAGACACACGACACGAATGTCGACCGACTCGCCAGGAGCAATTGTAATTGAAGTTAGCGGTGTATTAGCGGAACGCAGCATCAGTAGCAGGTCAAGTATTCTACAATGATGTAATTACAGCTGTTAGCGCCATGGCATCAACTACAGATGCTAACGTACCGATTGAATATGCTATGAGTTTTTGAAAATAGCTTTACACTCAAATCTTCATCGTACACATTTCGAAGTGTAAACCAAAAACTGGAGCAGTGGGGCGGTGACTCTTGTGGTGGTGGCACAGTGACTGGAGGAAGTAGCGCAACGTGATTTTCATTCGGGTTTGTCATTTCAATTTCACTGTTGATGCTTTCAGGATCGATTGCCAATTCTGCGTAACTCGAAATAATATGTGCTCGCACAACCACAACTTCGCGATTGTGCGGATTGCACACGTTGAGAAAGCGAAGAGAAAACTCTTGCATTCCGGCTGCCAATACCTGCTAGGTGATCAATATGAACAAGTAGTTAGTTCCAAAACCACTAAATTTCGTCTGCAATGTGCAATTGCATACCACTTTCGTCCGCACCAGCTCCATCTCAAGAACGCATGATGCCCTGGGTTGTACTCTCCAAGCACCCCACGGCGGACTTCCATCACTTTGTGTGGGTTTGTATGCATGTAACGTGAGTATTTGGAGTGAAGGAACATGAAAAGCCGAGGCATACGCGTCGTCATCGAGAAAGTGTACACGTCTTCCGCCTTGTGTGCAACTCACTTGGATACATGGTGGTATGTTAGCAATGATAAAAAATAATTCCACGTCAGATACATTATTTAAGCAAACTTGGAATGTTGATGCTTTCCAGCCGATACCATAGCCAATTTTTCCCAAAAAATGACATTTTTCAGAAATTTGGAATCGTGGCTCACAATAAGCTCCCAAGACATTCACAACTTTCAAGGTGGATGCCTTTTCCTCTAGTGTGTTGCGACTTTGAACACTCTGAATCCCAATCATACCTCGAAACGGAAACAACTTCCCGCTGTCGATTGGATCAGAAGGTAGTGGGACAGACACGGCAATGTCTGCGAATCGACATGACAGCGTGCACGAGCCCCTAGCCTGCAGCAGGTATGAGTTACCATAAAGGCACGGTTGACTGTGCGGTGATACGAATGAAATTGTGTTTGTAATAGCATTGGACGTGCTGAAGCCGGCCGCGGAGTGGCTCATTGTTGAAAATATTTTGTCCATATTGCCATCCCATTCGAAAATAAGTGGAAGTGTGCTAAACGGGCGCACCAAGATTGATTGCACTGTTGTATTCGTAAGTGCGAGAAGCTTCCCATCGGATTGTATTGCTGGAAGAGACATAGAATTACTGGCATCTTTATCCCAGACTCCAAGTAATGCTTTTGTGCCATGTTCTCCAAAAATACGATACTTACGACGTGTGGGTTCGTTCCCTCCAGCGCACGTTACGAAGTTGGTCGTAAACTCGTCCTCTAGTGGAATCACGCTTATAGGACCAACGTCTATGGTATGCAAAGTAAATGGCTCTTGCGCTGCGTCGAATTTAGAAATATCGCGATCCTGATTTGCGCGAACTACAGCTGGAATTTCGCAACGTAATGTTCCGTTATCCACAAATAACGCAACGTCGATAAAGTTGACTCTTCCAGGATAGTGGATGCTTTCGACCACAATTCGACGTCGAAAAAGTCCGTTTATTTTCGCTAGAACACAAAATTCGACGTTTCCGGTTTCACCAGGGGGTATTTCACCCTTTTCGTGTTTCAGTAAAACGTGAAAATTATGATCGTTGTCAGAGTAGCCGTCTGTTGCGCGCGTCACAGAGAGACGGTATCTAAACGGCAGCGCCTTACTCATGTTGACTACTTCAAAACACCCTTCATGCGCTTGCATACTTTGCAAGTGTCCATTGCTGTGTTCTACACCAAAATCAATTAATGATGGTGTCACCCGAGCGACGCTAGCACCAGCAACACCAACAAATTTGACAGTAAACTCTGCCAGCATCTCCGTTTTCTCATCTTCTGATGATTCTGGGGACATCTGTAATCCAAACAGCTGAATACGGATACCACCAACGAGGTCCCGAGTTAATCCTGTCTTAAACGCATCCGGGGATAATCGCGGGCGTATTGCTACGTAAAGATCGATTGCTTGATTTCCTTTCATTATGACGTTTGTTGCCTCACAATGCAGACGAGCATCTTCGTAAACATAGCACTGTGTCTTCAGGTTTGACGAAGCATAGATTACCAACGTGTGATCAACCTGACTCTGTAGTGTCAGTTTGTGCACTTTACTGAATCGTAGTGAGATATTGGGGTGGTCCGCCGCAGTGTCTTGCATTTCCGGCGTGACGTAACATGGACCCAGATCGAGAACGCCAAGCTGTCCGGTGAGCTGTGGGTCCAGTTCAGGAACTCGAACGTAAACTGGCCTCGTAACGCGCACCAACACTTCCAATACCGACATATCGAGGCGACCCCCACTGAGGTTGCGCAGGACAATTTGCTCCGTGTGCTGTCCAGGCACATGGGCTTTGTAAACAAAAGCTGCTTTGACGAACGACTCCGCCTCCACAGTTCCAGTGGCGTTTTCAAACATTATTTCACCTCCAACGAGCAAAGGAGCGCCAGATGACGATGCACTCCCATTACCGTGTTCGCGAGTCCCAGCCAACAAGAGGAATTGGAGCGCTTGATGTGATCTGTTAAATACAGTAATTTCGCTTCTGACGTTCTCGCCTTGCTGATGTTCACCCAAATCAATTGTTTCCAACTCAAAGTACAAAGACCCCTGGTACCTTCTAACCACAGCTACGTCCACAGAGGTGACCAGAGTTGATGTCATCGCATCAATACCATTGATTGGTGAAGTATTGCCTGGGTTGTGAAAGAACTCAATCCGACCAGCATTTAATTCTGCGGCTTTCGATACACAATCCAGAACTGATCGGTTCACACATGACGCCAAGGGGGTTGAAGGTGCAAAGCCTGCTTCGCTTGCATAGCACCATTTCAGCTTCAGGTTCACCGTGCGATCTAAGGGAATATTCAGCGTAAGCGGTAGCATTTTTTTCAGATTAGTACTATCAGTACGATCAGATGTTTCCTCGATATTGTCAGATATCAAACAGTCACGAGGCAAAACTTCACATGTCAAAGCCAATACATTTTCAAACGTACTCGCTGGATTCCAGCTCATTTTTACAACTTCTGGTCTTTTGTACGACATGGACCCAAGCGAAAGCGCCAGTATCCATTCGCGGGCGTCAATTGGTGACTCTTCTGCTGGCACCAGTAGGCTCGAGCTTGTGGGAGATATTCCTGGCTGATCGGGGACGATGTCAATGTTTAAAACCCGTTTCTTCTTGCGCGAGTCAGGAATCGTGATTGTCAACTTGCGTCGCCGTTCTACTTTCTCCGATTCAATTCCAGTGGGTGCGATTAGCGATGGCAAAACGTCTTCATAGCGTGACATGCGACTCGTGCAATTTGTTTTTACTCTACAAACATCTAGTGAACAATCAGGAGGCACGACACCTGTTTGAGGATGAGGTGGGAGCACAGATGGAGGTCTTTGACCAATAGCACGGCAAAATGCATCTTCTCCTGCAAACGTCCGCAAAAAAATCTCTGCTTTGTAGTGAAGCTCCTTGACCACGTCTTTGTTTTGCTGCTCGAAAAACAGAAACTTGCCAGTCCCTTCTATAGAAGTAACATTTCGACACAGCAGCCGCTGTTTCATTCTTTGGCTGCGGTGTCCTCCGCTCTTATCATCTGCTCCGTGCGGCGAGATATCATCAGACCTCACAGGGTTAAACACTGCGTAAGTCACTATTCGCCCAGTCGCTTCAGCTTCAAGAGAGAAACGCAAGCAATTGGTACCAACCGACCCTTGAGCGCATTTTGCCTCGATAACGGGTTTATCAGACTGTTTGAATCGTCGCCGTCGCAAATGCACGATACACTCTGACTCAGACATTTCTGAGTCGCTGTTGCCACTCTCGTAGCTATCGTATTCTCCCACCCAGCTGGTAGCTCCAGGTTTCCCTGTCGCATCCAAGTATCTATCGGTTGGAGTTCCTAGCTCTTTACTGAGCAATTCACCCGACAGCAGTGCCTTCACCTGGGAGATTTTAGCGTTCAGCCTAACAATCTTGTCCGCCTTCTTTTTTGTAATTGCAATACGCAGCTTATGTTCCAACTTTTCTAGCTCCTCATCAAGCTTCTTTTCCTGAGCTTGAGTAACAACCGCAGCTGGAGTATCATCGATTGAAAAGTAGAATGTTGGCCGCAAGGTCGGGTAAGTAGAAGCTGGGTCCAACTGGATCACGTATTCGCGCTTCTTGAGACTTGTATTACGAACAGCAATTTTTACCTCGTCAGTCTTCTTACCAACAAGACACTTCTCAAACGAAATAGTTTGCCCTGATCATGAGAAGAATATGCACAGCTGGGCGTGAGTACAACAGAAAAACAAAGAGATGATGTTTGCGACGAGCAAATACCTGACTGGAGGATTTTAAATGTTTCGCGCTTTACAACCTTCGCTTTGATAGTTACCGAAACTGAATTGTCTGGATCTTGAACGTTAATTATTTTTAACTTTTCTTCGAAGGGGCCTGCTAGTGTTGGCTGAAATTGAAAACAAATCTCTTTCGTGCCGAACGCCTTAACCACGCCAAATTCTCCTTCCTTGATCTGTAGAAATCCTGAGGATATTGATCCCGTTTTTTCAACACTATACACTAATGGGGTAGTAGACATGTTTTGGACACTTAACCGTTTGGAGCTTTTCGACGATGTTGCAATGCGCCCAAAATTAATATTTTTCTGATTCACATTCATGATTGAGGAACATACCCGACTTTTCACCAACAATTCTCTGACAGAAGGGCGCGAATCAAATGGGTGCCTCGACGCGGCCCAAGCAGGTCTGCTTTGATCAAAATTTTCTCCAACAATGTGAGCTTTGTTATTCCCACCAGGTGGAAGAGTGATAAAAATTTTATGCTTTTCCACTCGCGTCTTCGAAACATCATCAGGATTTGTTAACTCGGTGGCCACTGGCCTAAATACTGCGACAATACGTTGGCGCGACTTAGCTGGTATGCGAAGGTTTCGTTCTTTGTGAGAGCTAAGCGGAATCATTTTTTTTTCCGCTAAAAGAGACTCAAGGCGCTTAACGCGATCTCGCACCATCGCTACAATTTCTTCCTCTTTTTCCTTGGAGAAAACTGAGCCGTGGCAATACTCATCACATTCAAATCGAGACTTCGCAAAAAGCTGCAATAGTGAAGCAATATCTTCTGAAGACCTTTTATCCGCATGAGAAGCTAAAGGTGCAGGCAATGAGCCAATACATGATCCGTTGGGACTCCTTCTTAGGTCGCTTAATGCTTGCACATGACTTTCTTTAAATTCCAAAGCTTCAGCATTTTGCTGATCCTGGCAATTTCTCCCATTATCGAAATGATTAGTTGAAGCCGATCGGAGTATATTAGTAGCCCCCGAAATGTTTGCAGTAGACAAAACACCGGTTTGAGCTACTGATCGCTTTTTTGACATGATATCCCGGAGAGCAGTCAATTTAGCTTTTCTATATCTCGCCTTACCATCCTCCAGCTCCGACACGCTGCAAAATGATCTGCGTCGACGAATAGGTCGTCTTATTGGTGGCTGGCCTCTTTGGTTGGAAGTATTTTTGAAAATGTCACCCCCGAGACTATTCTGTGAAGTCGACGACACCGAAGAAGGTGAAAAGCTTTGCTTACTCTCTTTCACATGGTTTTCGTCACTACTTAATCGTTCTATCGTATTGGACGCCTTGTCAAATGAATTTCTAATGCAATACAATTGCACCTTCGACGGCGAGGAAACTTTAATGTTCAAAGGTAGCGGAGCATTTGTTATATTCTCCAAATCAAAAACTTGAACTCCAACTGAATTGGTTGTCACGTGCTCAAAATTTAAAAATGCGGACCTTGATTGGGTCAAAAGCTTGTAAAATAGTGAATGGTAGATCACATGATGTGCATCCATGTTGCTTGAACGGACGCAAATCTGTGAAATGTTGCTTTTGTTTCTTAAATTAATAACCGAGATGACTCGAGAGTAATTTGGATTCGTTTTGCGCGGTATAATTTCAATCTTTAGCTCAGTAGACTGTTTTGGACCAAGCATCATGTCGTCGTTGGGCACCGTCGAGATCACTTTAGATGTGACTAACGGCTTCACAACGGTCGGCAACTCGGAATGATTCGTCAGTATACATGAGCTACTTTTTAGCTCCCCAATGTTGCAGTCTCCCAAGTGCAAAATTGAGGGGGTAGCTGTCACTATTGAGGTGCACGTTCGAGCGCAAATATAAATCGACTTGCCTAGAGAACGGTCAAATTCACGCGACTGAGTTTGTTGCCAAGCGCCTTGCATAACAAAACACCGAAATGATATTCGGAAATTTTGCTTCGTCAGACGAGCGACCTTAGGATCAACATCTGAAGATCCACAATATATATTTTCCAAGTTATTGCTTGACACCGCCGGTGAATACCATATTACTATGGTTCGCTCGACGCCGGGAGGCAAGTCAATACTTTCGACAAGAAAATTGGATACGCTGTTGTCATCGGGGGAAACACTATGACGCTTGTGTTGATCAGCTTGAAAGCTCCGCTCTGGAGAAGACCGCGGACTGCACATTAGTCGAGACATACGACATTTCAATTGGAACATCAACATCAGCGATGAGGGCTTATCCATCCATCAATATCGTCGTGAACTACAGTACCTGTCCACACCACTGTCGTAAACGAGTTCTCTTAGTCTGGATAAAGTCTTCGAGGACTTTTTGCCGTGTGATCGAGTACTTTTCTTTCGCAAATCGGTAGTGGCTCTCGAAACCCGCAGTTTTGGACTCACTGAGGGTCTTTCAAGAAGTGCACGAGATTCCCTATCAAATTCGAAGTCATCGTCGAAATCATCACCATCACCCACAGCAGTTTCTCCAAAAGAAGTTATTTTCGCTTGCTGGATTGCTTCTTCGTAAAATTCCCCCTGAAACAGCAATGTTACTTACAACAAGATATTTTTGCATTTCATACAACACTGACCTCGTTGTCATCGTTGTCATCGACCTCTTCATCGACCTCTTCATCGCTGTCCAGTCCATACGCATCCACACATGGAGAAGACAAGCCCTTAACACTTGATCTGTCATTAGAATAAGAGGGAGAAAGAAGCTTAATGGCACGAGGAGATCTTGGAACCCGTGATCGATTCTGCTGTAATTTAAGCTCGAATGTGACTTCTTTCGGGCGGTCGCTATTTAGCTTCACATGCAAGGCTACCTCCGTCATATTCCGCAGCATTATAACTTTAGAGTTTGCAATACCAGTGAAGCAATCCCCAAAATCAAGTTGACTTCCACTCATAAGGTGTGAGCCATCTGGCTCCTTAATCGACAACCCTTCCCTAAAATCAATAGGAATATTGCTTCCGAATAAGTGGCCTATAAAATTCAATCGCGCTTACCTGTGATGCTCCCAATTAGTCACGGCATGAATTTTAAGCGTCTTTACGTTTCTAGAGTCATGTAAGTTTTGCGCCTGAATTTCAAAAAAGTGCTCTCCAATCTGTCCATTTCGCAAATAATAAGCCACGACATACGACATATATCAAAGGCACGCTTAGTTTTTGTTATGAGATCATTACAATAATAGCTCTGGATATACACTTACATCCTTTGGGCGATACGTCACGCGGATCCGCACATGACCATAAGCGGCAGCTTGGAGTGTTTTGTCTCCAATTATGTATCCGGAATTATAATCTGTGCACAAAAGCACTTCATTGTTTTCGCTCCACGGCGAGAGTGGAGACACGAGATTGAACAGAAGCGGGATTTCCGAGCGGTTCCACACCGCAAAATCCTTGACAAATGACCCTCCGGGTACGCAATCGTCAAAATGTAGCTCTTGCACATCCAGTCGTAGCAACGAGCGGCATACTTGCGCTTGTAGTGGCACTAGCATCTCTGACATCGGCGCTTCTTTGGTAGCATCAGCATCAACGAATAAGGGCTGCAGAATCAGTCGTCCTGACAGCACAAAGCACGAAGTTTCACTAAGATGCGCACGCTCTTCCTCCGACGAGTCCCCGGCCGCCACGAATGCCGAGTTCCCGGTTATAGAATGTTGTGGTGTCAGCTTGGTGCATAAGGCAAATATAATCTTCTTGCTTTCTCTAGGCCCCAATATGATCTCATCGATGGCTCCAATGTGATTAAACAACTCGTTATAACCTTCACACAGGTACACGTTGTCGGCGAGAAGATTAGCCTTGGATGAAGAGGGTAGTACCGAAAAGGGTACGTGATTAAACTTATCCGAGGTCACGGTTCGATCTTTCTCCTGCTGTAGCTCGCGCTGCATTACACTAACGTTCTCGTTCTCGAGCTGAAAGCACCACTGGCTATTTTGAAAAGGTTTGCGTAGCTCTGCACGCAGACGGACCTTCAAGTTGCGTGTCGTTAAGTTTGTGATTTCAAAAACAATTATGTCCGACAAATCATTCAGATAGATATCGCCCAGGCCCAGTAGCTCGCCCTTGCCACCACAATATTCAACACGGCTGCGCTCCGCCTTTCTCAGCATAGCTACTGCCAAGGCTGAGGAGGGTGACTGTGGCGCGCGTGTAGTCTTTCTATCAGAAGCGGTCGTTTGGTTTCCCATAGTGATGTCCATTTCGCCTAGTACTGGCGCTGGCGCAACTTCCAAAGCGCGAAACTTTGCCATCAGGAAAGTGTGGATTTAGGTGCTACAAAATTTCATTATCAATATTTATAACAACATATCATACTATGTGTGACACCGCAATTTCCAAACATCATTCCAAGATGAGCGAGTCGACAGCTCCGGCTGCAGCGATATCCATGTCGGACGCCGCGTATGCCTTTGACGAAGATGTGCTGAAAGATGTCCGCAATAATAAAGTCTGGATGCAAGACCCCAAATACTTTAAAAAGGTGATTGTGTCGCCTGCCGCCGCCATAAAGATGCTTAATCACGCCAACTCTGGGGTCGAGAAGGGTATTAAGGCTGGCGGAAAGCCCGTAGAGATCATGGGACTAATTATGGGTCGACCTTCCACCGGTACAGAAAGAGATGCTGGTGATTCTCACACGCTTGTGGTTACAGATTGCTTTCCACTGCCCATCGAAGGTGCCGAAACCCGTGTGCTGGCAGATGACGCCGAAGTCATTAATTACATGATCTCGCTGGGCGAGGCTGTGGAGCAGACGCGCAAAGAAAAGTTTATGGGCTGGTACCACAGTCACCCATTTGATGTGGAAGTACATAGCCATTGCTTTCTATCTTCCACGGACATAAGTACGCAGCTCCAATGGCAGCGCTCGGAAGACCCACACGGCAACCCATGGTTAGCTATTGTACTGGATCCGCTGCGTTCCTTGGCCAAAAAGCGTCCAGAGATGGGTGCATTTCGTGTGTACCCTCCGGAGTTTGCTGCTCCTATGAACGAGACACCAGACGGAACGATTGTCACTGATGAGAGTGCGAGACTTGAACGCTGGGGCAACTGCTGGAATCGATACTACACGTTGGAAATTGTTTACTTTATGAGCTCTCTTGGCTCTCAAATTATAAGTATTCTCTCCGAAGAATTTTTGTGGATGCGTACGCTAAGCTCGAACACAATGCAAGAGCGTGAGAATCGCGACCGTTTTTCGGAGCGAATCCAGCTGCTGGTGAATAAGTTTGATGGCTGCGAAGCTCACTTAATTCCTCGCGCTGGACGTGGGGCGTCACGCATTGGTGAGTATTACGTGCCCGAAAAACAGCAGTTGCATAAAGAAACCGAGGAATCAGCTCTTGACAAAATAACGCAGGCAGCAAATGAACTTGCCATCGAAAACTCGCTTGGCCAAGAACTGCAGGTAGTCAAAAAAAATCTCTTTAACTACAAGTGATATTGACTTTTACTTAGGCATCATATGCAGATTCAGTGCAACAAATGCAGTACTTATTAAACATAAACTCCTTGGACCATACCAGTTCTTGAAATAAATATCGCCACTAAAAAAGCTTCGTTTTAGTTCTTCCTTCTCCCATTGCAAACAGCTCCTCCGCAATTCGTTCTTGCGCTTCCATAGCCTCCATATTTTCTTGAAGAGCTCTGCGTTCAGCATTGTCAACAACACTTACAACAGTCTTTTGGGGGAACAAAGATGTTATCGAACGCGAGCTGCATCCGCGACTTTTTTTGAAACGCTTGTAATTTACCAATCTTTTCATTTCACCATGTCGAGAAGGCTCTCTTTTTCGCGTAATTAATGGGCAGCAAACAACGATTGGCTTATTTGCATCTGCCTCTTCAAATTTTACATCGCGTTGCTGCAAAATACGTGAGGATTTCCAAGCAGACGCTGTCATATCGTTCATTTCATTTGGCAGCATATCACGTTTGATCTTGTTTGCAGAGGCATGTTCTATCCGATTACAAAACAGTGTTTTGACCAATTGCGTTAAGAAATGTCTGTGATTTTGTCACCTTGGTTATTTACCTTTTTTTTCGCCCGTTGTCGAGATCTGCATGGTCCCAGACATTACATCTTTGGCCTAAGAAGCACATTGTCAGCCACTTATAAAGTTTGATATAAGTAGGCCAACGTACTTTTTTGTTATTCAGATCAAACTGCTTTTCAGAATTTTCTTTGTTCGTAACGTATGCAACATCAACTTCCTCTTCTTGATTTGCATCCGTAATTTTCTGATGCTCCTTTTCAGCTGTTGATAGAATCCCTCGCGTATTCATATAGTTCAGGTGGCCCGAGTTCTGGGAAGATGGACCTGTACAATTCGCAAGGCTACTGCTAAAGGAGGAATCATTTGGTGGCGTCGGTGGTTTCACGAAAATTACACTTGCTGCTAATTCTTGAACACTCGTAAAAACAGCCCCCATTGACTTAAACAGTGCCACTCTTTGATCTACTATCTCCACAGGACATATAGGGTCAAAAGGAGTTGTGACTCGCTGTTCGCTTAGTCCTGCTGTATTGAAGATTCCCGTTCCATGCGGCTCGATCAGTAGCAAACACTTGCTTGAAGCCAGCGAGCCCAGCTCATGCAATAAAGTGTCGTCCTCCGTATTGTTCTCATAGCCACGAACTACAATGCCGCCCATGGCAGCAATAAGCTCCTCCATCGGCTGCGGATTCAGGAACAGCACCGCATACCCTTGAAAGAGCGATTTGCGGAGCGGATTCGGGAGATAGTTGCTCTCAACGAACGGAATGGACGGATCCGAAGGCAAGAACTCCTCACAACGCGGCAAAGGCTCTGATAATTTAAGACGGTTCGCTATAGCATAAATCCACGGCGTACACACCACCGGTTGGGTGAACACCAGCGCCCAAAGCACCTTAACTGTCGCTACGATTCGTCCTGGATCCATGATACAGTGTGTAGCATCCTTATTTTCCGTCGTGACTAAGTGCATGCCAATGCGCTGGCACGTATCCATAAAATTAGCTCGATTGGCCCGCTGGATGCGCGAGGCCACGAGAACAAACACTTGATTACGCACGCGCAATATAGTCTTTTTGGCCCCAAAGGAGATAAGATCACCGTGTTGCAAGCTACAAGTTCCAACAATCTTCTTCTGATTTACAAACGAGCCAAAGCGTGAATTCTTGTCCACCAGCTCCAGCGACGGACATGTGGACGAATCTCCAAGCTGCTCGGGCGTCAACGCGCCTACGCGAATCAGTGCGTGCGTGCGCGAGATAGATGAATCCGTATGAAAGTTGACGTGACAACGCTTTCGACCAACGCTCCACTCACCCGCTATTAGGTAGAATGTAGTGTCGGAAACAGCGCCGTCGCCCTCTACGACATCTAAAACCCACATCGTGGACAAAAGGCATAAGCACAAAGCAATCGAAAATGCAAAAAAAAAAATACATTTGGCCTTTTTCTTTACAGGCGAACGTTCACACAATTAAAAGCTTGTCCGTTGCTTGAACAACGAGCTATACCACCGCACTGTTTAAATGTGCGCAATTACGGAATCGCCTTATACGAAATTTCGTTTCTAAACTACCTCACACCTTATTCAAATCAACGCCATGACATGGTTAGGAGCCTTCGAAACGAATAAATTACGATTTGAAAGCGCTAAGATCACGTTAGTTACTCGAAGTGACACTAGCCAAGCGCCACCCGCATTGCGGATGGTAAGTGCGCGTGTCACGCTCTACGAAGTGCTGAACAAGTGCGTGGTTTCCATGAATGAATACTTTTGTACGTCAGCCATAGCCTTTGAGCTTTGATTGCGATGTTCTCACAAAAAATGTTGTTGAGGTTAGCGCTACCCATGCGAGATAATAAGTAACGACGCAAATATTTCACCGTTTTGTCCTTCTACCTTGATGCTCGTTTCGAAATTTGTCTGTATTGAGAATAATTTGCATCGAAGGCGAATTTAAAATCACGCGAATTGCCATCACTGATGAAACGCTCCTGATATCAGCACATGCTGGTTTTGGCGCCCACAATATTATGATAGTTAAGTAAATAAATTAAATGAGCCTTCGGTAAGACTACCTGAAGAAGGCTTCCGTTACACAATCCTAGACTTGGGCTTAAGCATCACATAACCCTGATTAGATCCCTATTTTTAGTGTCAACCTGAGCGGCGAATTCACGTAAATCTGAAGTAGCCGCATGAAGTCTTAGCTAACAAACATTTTTGGTCTGCTATCTTGCGCCTGCTGGACAGACTACAAGAGGTAGAATTTGAGTTCTGCATAATTCTCTCAAAATCCACCGAAGCAACAGGCTCAAGAGCACCTGGGATCTCCCTCCGTCTCCCAACCCGACGCTGCATTTCTGGCTCAGCAATTCATGTTTGGGCAAACTTTGGAGAACCTTACTTACCTGTGGTTCCGGGGTATGAAATAAATGCGTCCAATGATTACTCCTGGCACATTGGACACGGTATTGGAACACGCCACGGTGTTATTAAAGCTCTCTTCCTGACAATGTATCAAATCTGAGACAATCTGAAATATATGCTTCAATGGACGTGAATACAACGCTTTATTGTATGCTTTATTGTGCTTTGAGAGTCTTTGTCGACATAAAGCTCTGAGGTACTACTTGAAGTGGAAAAGATTTTGTTTGCAATCAACGCAACACCCACTTTTCGAACTCACTAAAAAAATCCTCGCATGACAGTGAACATTGAGGATGTTTCTATTTACAAATTTGGGTCCACAGGCTTCTCTAAACGCAAAGCACTCGTAATTGACAAGAAACCATCCTTCTTGATGGCATTTAATCCCAAGACGAACATTTTCAAATATCAGTCAATAATCATGTGCTGATTTCATCTAAATCATTAATCAATCGTCGCTGATGCATTAGTTGGTGTTTGGAGTCGTGACTACTTTGATCGTACGATCAATACAGCGGGGCTGCCGTAGCTCTTTGCTTAAAGATAGCTAAGCTAAGGGCATCAAACTTACGTACGTTACAAGAACCAGAACGAGTGCAGCGGATCGCAACCCGCTACCTCAAGAGTACTTAAAACCCTAATCAAATAAAGACGCTCTTCCGTTCAATATTGAAACCTGTTTCAATTGTTTAAGTCGCGGCAGAGCCGCCAATATCTGAAACCTTAGGTTTTCCTGATTAGTATGGAAATACAAAATTGATATAGTAAAACGCATTACTACGGGTAATCCTACCATGTATTGGCTTCTTGTAACGGGGTTACACGTACCCTGGTAACAGGGGTGTGTGCTACGCGAGATGGACATGGTGTGACTGCACCCAAATAAGAATACGGTACGTGGCTAGGTAGCCAGTAGTTATGCATGTATTAGATTTAACATATATTTAGGTAAATCTAAACATTTAAAATTAGGCGGCTTTCCGTCACCTTCGGGACGGTTGCCCCCTGCACAGGCGCGTCAAGGCTCTTCGAACCGTCGCCCCAATGCTTACCAGTCTGGTTCGTCGCGGGGAAACGACACCACCCAGACGGCGCGGGGCGATCTACTGGGAGAAAACTGAGTTCTGTTGAGCCTCAGGAAGGTAGAGGTCAACAGGGCCCAGCCCCGAAGAGCTCCGTGCTCTTGAACACGGAACGTGTATGCAAGCCAGGCTTGCTGGTCGTGAAGGCGACCGTAAAGGGTTCGAGAAGCCATGGAAGATTCTCATCGATTTTGGGGCGTCGGCAATGACACTCGACACTCCACGATGGAAAAAAGTCAGCTGTATGCTGGGGCGCTGAAAGCGCGGTTGGGTGACATCGTCACTGTTCGCCTAGCGACGGGGACACATGTCACGGTCCCGACGATCCCTGTGGACCTTGGAGTCAAGTTCCTTGACTTTGATAGCGTGGAACGCTGTCTAGTCTTAGACTT